GTAAGAGGGACGACTTTGCGGAGTGTGGGGAGGGGGGGGAGGGTTAGTAGGGGGAGGGAGGAGGGAGGGAAAGAGGAAGAGGGGGAGTAGGGGGAAGGGGGAAGGGAAGGGGGAAGAGGGGGAGTGGAGGGAGGGGGTAGGGGAGAAGGGGAGGAGGGAGAGGAAGGAGGGAGGGAAAGGGAGAGAGGGGGAGGAGGGGAGTAGGGGGAGTAGGTGAGGGAGGAAGGAAAGGGAGGAGGAAAAGGGGGAAGAGGGGGAGTGGAGGGAGGGGGTAGGGGGTAAGGGGAGTAGGGGGAGGGAGGAGGGAAAGGGGAAGAGGGGGAGTAGGGGAGGGATGGAAGGAGTTAGGAAAAGGAGAAAGGGATGGAAAGTTGATGACGATGGGGAAAGGGAGAGAAAGGGAAGGCATTAGGGAAAGTGTTAATGGAACAGGGGTTAGAAAAGGGGGAAAGGCACACAAGGGGATAGGGAAATTAGGGAAAGGAAAAGAGGATAAGGGATTAGGGAAAAGGGGGAGAGGGGGGGGGAAGGGCACGGAAGGGGTTAGGGAAAGTGAGAAAGGAAAGGGAAAAGTTTAGGAAATGGGGGGGGGGGGAGTTATAAGGGTTTAGGGGAGCTTTAAGAAAAGTTTGGGGAAGGTCGGGTAGGCTTATGAAGTTTAAGGAAATGAAGGATAGGGTCTTGGGAAAAAGGAAATGATTACGTAGGAGTTTAGGGGAAGGAGAGAAGGGAAAGATTAAAGGGAAGAGGGGAAAACAAGGGCGGAAAGACAGGGTGCAGGCAGGGTAAGGAAGGGAAGAAGGGAGAACAAGAGGGTGAGAGAGTTGCACGAATGATAAAGAAGGAGAGAAAGGGAAAATAGAGAGATAAATGGGGGTTGGAATAATAAAGGAAAAAAAAAAGAGAAATGAATGAGGAGGGGGAAAGCCGTTTTCTTTTATTCGCTTTTGTGGTTCTCAATCCGGGCCTTTCATCCAATCAACAGATGGCGCCGCTCAAAACCGCTGACGTTGCCCATTGGTCGACGGAGCTTCTGTAAACATTGTTGGGCCAATGAGCGACGTCAGCTGTCCTGTTGGGCGCCATCTGTTGGCTGGATGATGAGGCAACTGGAATTAACTCTCTAGAAGGGGATGTTTTATATTTTCTAGTTTCTTTTCTCTGATCTTTAATGTTTTTTGGGGGTTAATAAAGTTGGTGAACAGGGAGAATAAAGGAGTGGAGACAGAGGGTTACGAAAGAGGAGCTAGAGTAAAAAAATAGGAAAACGAAATTTGGAGAATATACGTAACCAAAACGAAGCCTTAAAACCATACCCATTAGCTATTACCATATACCATAAGAGTACGACCTAATTAGACCTCTTTTCTCCCATCTTCCCCTATTCCTAGTATCACCTGAGCCCCTCACCTGACCTAACCCGACCTAGTTTAACACCCAACCTTTCCCAGCTTCACCTGTGTTAGCCCGGCGTACGGGGTCGACCGGTTATGCGGCTCCCCCTCGCGCCCCTGTCCGTTAAAGAGGCTAGACGCTTGTGATACAAAGGGAGCGTGATTCTTTGTATGTATGCGTGCGTGTGTGCGTGTATGTATGGGCGTCTGTAAGTGTGTGTGTGTGTGTGTGTATTTGTGTGTGTGTGTGTGTGTGTGAGGGAGAGAGAGAGAGAGAATTATATCGAGACGCGATACGATTGCAGAGTTGGCAATTTGCCTTTTTTATTTCATTTTAAGAGGGAGCAGCAGGTGTTCGAACTGCCGCCCTGCCACATTGCGGAATTTGTACATCGGTAAGTTACCAAATGGCGTTAAAAGCACTCGCCTAAGAGACTCGCACGAGCCCGAGAGGAGCAATAGAGCGCGAAAGGCGATATTGCAGCTGGGAAAATGTAACCCCGGACGCGTTGCATCGACGCGCGCTCATCGCCGGCGCATTACGTTCGGCAATAGCGCGGCAAAACAAATGAGCGGCGCCATGCGAACCCCGCAACCGCGAAATGTAACGAATAAACATCGCATATAGAACGCAACGGGATCTTCCACGTGAAAATATGGAGGAGTCATCGTCGCTCAAAGAACGCAGACGACCTAATACGAAACGCGCGTGGCATTTTCATTCATAAAGTTAGCCGGTTTTTTTTTTTAATATGATCACGAACGCCAACGGGGAAAGCGCCCCCTAGCCGGCTACTTTAACGGGATGTCGTACAAGAGGATTAAAACTCTTGCACGACGCGAAATGGCTCCCGTGCGAGGACGTGGAACGGGGGGAGAGAAGAAGGAGGATAAACAGAGGAATAAAAATGACAGAGATGGAGGTAGTAATAGGAGAGGAAGGAAGGGGGAGGGGAAGGAGAAAGATAAATAGAGGAATTGAAAAGGGAGAGAGAGATAAAGGGAGAGGGATAAGGGGGAGTATTGGGTAGGAAGGAAGGAAGGAAGAGATAGTAAATGAAAAGGAATAATAGTAAGAGGGGAATGAGAAGGACGAATAGAAGATG